CATGGTGTACGAGCTAATTACAGGGAAGTGTTTGGCTACGATAGGAAATTATGGTTTCTGCCTGTATTTTCCAGGTGGGTGTTAGACTCAAACGATTTCAACTTCTCTTCTATTTGTCGGGTTGGCTGGGTACGTGAGAGTTTTGTCTGAGGAAGTGTTGCCTGTTGGGGGTTTATGCGCGGGGGAAGCTAGTTGTTCCATATGGGCAGTTCGAGGTTTCCGCTGCCGTTCGTGATTGTTTTCGAGTCTTTCATAGTTTCTCACGCGCTGTTTAACCTAGTGACCATTTAGTGGTATCTATATCAGTTTTTCCTAAATATGGTAATTTCTAGAAATTTTCTGAGTTTAACTTCTCCTGTGTTTCCTTGCAAACTTCAATTTGCTGTTCGTGTTACGCTTTATTAGGTACGCTCAGTGTTGCCTTCATACCTAGAGTCAATAGTCAAATTTTGTTCGAGCTATACCAATATGCTATTAGTATTTTCATTCACAAGTTTGCTCCTATATTCATCACTTTGTGTCGCATGCTGTGCTCGCTTTACTAATCAACCATCTAGGAAACATCATAGCAAATATCACAAATTGAGTGTTTACAATGTTCACAAACTTTGAAAATATCTCGAAAAAGATGAGTAATACTACCGTATAACTTAGAAACACGCATTCAAACGTTCGTTGTAGCTTTACAAATTTCATCAGGTTCTTATCATCTTCCTATCTGCATGCAGGTGTTCATCTAACTAACTGTTATTACAAATGCCCAAGCGGTGGGTGCATGAGGTGGAAAATGGAATCAGATTTCCAGTTTCTTGAACCTATTTTTGGAAGAAAGCAATTTTCTTATGTTTTGGAGAAGGTTGTTCATCCATTTTTTATTGTCGGCTCGCTGTGTGCGCTAGATGGGGTTGAGGAAACAGGTTGCGACTAGAACAGTGGAACGGTGGCGCGATTTGATTAATTAACGCCGTAGCTAGCTCAAATCAGCATATACTTTACTAACTTATCTGTTTATTTATATTATATGTACCGAAATTAATGCGCACTATAGTGGTTAAAGTGGACCGAGTGCAAAATTTGAGGAGAAACTAGGTTTAGGAGTTTCACCGCGAATTGTGGAGTCGCTATAGTTCGTTATTTTATTTACCAAAAAGTATCGATATTTGGAGTACGTATTATAACACATGATTTGCGGTAATAACTTTTGTAATCCTAACGTAAGCCTTTACGAAATTGCTGTTGTGTGGATGTAGTGTAAATCTTTTCAAAGATTACTGGAATATATTCAGCATTTCTAGAAAGGCTAGGCGCAATTTAAAGATCTTGGAAGCGAATGCTGCAGCTAAATATCAAATCAAACAAAAACTATTAAAGTAAAATCGACAGAATGTGCACTTCATGGGAATTGTGCTATGCACCATCTATGTTCTTTCCTCCCCTCCCTTCTTCCCTCAAGTTTATGGGCGTCCCCTACACTGCGTCAGAATTAAGGTCCAGGTGAAAATAAGTTCGTAATCGGAAATAGAATAGATTTCAAGGGGGCACAGTTGGGAGGTTTGACTTGAAGTTTTGAAGCGCTGCTAATTCTTGGCAAAAGTTTGTGCTAAAATTGCAATGTAGCGTTTTAAAAGCCTTCGCGAAAGCTTAAATTTTCAATTCCGTGCTGCCTAGTATTTCGATGCATGTTTGTCGTATAACCGCATGAATAGTGGTGGTGATGTGCGTGAGGTCGAAACTGATAGCTGGCTTTCAGTGGTGGAGATGGTTCAGTTTATCGTACACGACAGCAGGGTGTATATGTATACGAAACGGCGGCTCGAACACATACCACCTTACCACCAACAGACCAACACAACTCCCTATCAGAGACACAGCGAGAAAACTCGTCTGTGTCGGCACCATCTAGACAAGAACGGTCGTGCCGTACGAACGCACGTGTTTCAGTCTTGGAGATGGTGTAGTGTTCGAACGATGGGAAGTAGGTGGCGGTCGAGCCGTCGCACGCTACTCGTTACTGGCGCAAGTCGAAGCCGCCGAATTACTTGCCGCAGCAGCCAGCGACAGCGAAGACGAAATCATCTGAAACAGCTGGGTTTATTCTCGTTATCTTATATGATCTGATCTGACATGTATTCTCGCCCTCGATATACACTCTGGTTTTATCTTGTTCATCATAAGTTCATCTGTGATAGAGTAGTTAATTTGGTCATATCTCCTGATTTGGCCTTTTTTTGTTCCATAAGATTTATTAATATGTGTAGCAATATAATGATAAAGTGTGACAGTATAATGTCTGATTTGTAAATCAAGTGCTTTTAGAATAGAGCCGAAAGATTTTTTCAAGATCAAATTAGTCTTCTCATGAAAAGGTTGCTTACGAAAATCAGATTGTGCGATGCGATAATAGGGGTTCCGCGTGAGCTTTTGAAAACATGCTCTGAACCAAGAATGCCGAAGTCAGATTCACAGACGACTGACAGTCAGACGATCACAACTTTGGTAATCAGTACAATATCTGCATCTTTGATTTGATGTGTCGCGTGCAAGTCTATGGTCGCTTGCACGGATCAAAGCGCCGTCAGGTCGTTGCAGACCCGGTGCTGCTGATCGGCGCCGGTGCAGAATTGATACTCAGCTGTTCCACTGCTGC